TGCGCGGTGATTGGTAGAGCATACGACTCGAGTTCGAATCCGGGTTTAGGGGTAATCCATAAATGACGTCACGCCTTTTTTTACGATTTTACCCCCCCCCCCCCCCCCCCCCCCACCCTCCTCTCCGTCACACATCGTCACAAAAAGCCAGAACCCCCAGACGTCAGCCTACAACCAAAATACTCTATGTTGGCAGAGTTCTGACAAGATTTTGGAAAAATATCGATGTTTGAAGAAAAATTCAACATCAATTTTGAGGGGGGGGGGGGGGGGTAGTAGGCTGAGGTGTGACGTCATTTTAGGGGGGGGGTCTGGCTTTTTGTGACGTTTGACGGAGGGGAGGGGGGAGATAAAAATCTGTCAAAAAAAGCGTGACGTCATTTATGGATGACCCCTTAGTGTTTAAGTTTAAATTTAAAATTTGTTTTTTCCTATTTCATTATTTACACGGATCTTATCCAGATAACCGGCGCCATAAAAAAAATTGTAAAAAAAATAAATAAAACTTGCGGTTTTAGATTTTAATGAAAAGTGTGAAATTGGGAGTCATTAATAATTTGCACGAAAAGGTTTGTATTTTGGTACCTTTAACCTTCAACTCTAAACCTAGAGGCGGATAATGTGTTTTTATGACGTGCGTTTAAATAAGCAAATGTCTAGACAACAGAAATAGGTCACAAGTGGCGCAACTTAACTTTTTGCCCGTGACTTTTAGGCTAAAGTTTAGCATTACTGGCGAGGCTTACAGGACAAAACCCAGGCGTAGCGAGGGAGGGGGTACATATGTCCCCGGGCGCCGACCTTAGGGGGGGGGGGGGTGCGAAAATGGGTTGGAAAAACAAATTGAAAGTTTGAGTGGGATGGTGCAAATTGAAAGTTTAAGGGGGGGGGGTGCAAATTGAAAGGTTGTCCCCGGGCGCCGGGAAGGGTCGCTACGCCTCTGCAAGACCCCATTCGATTTTATCAATTTGGGCATAAATAATACTACACATTTTGTTACAGTCGTACGCTTTTATAGTTTGAGATTCACTGAAAGTTACGTTATTTCAACACAATGAAAGGCTTAAATTATGAAGGTCGTATTCCATATAACTGTCTGCTTTTAAGCGTGTTTGAAGTTAGGCCCTACATTTTAAAAATTCTTAAAGACCTTCCGGGTAAATTTCAAAACTAGACTCTATATCCTTCAATAAAACGTTTAGATATGTATGTAAAAAAAAACGACTTTATGAATTACAATGATAAACATCAGTGACGTAGCTAGAGCAATGTGTGAGTGTTTGATGGAAGCTGACCTTTTACTTAAATAGGAATAGGCTCAACATAGACGTTGATGGAAGGCTGATGCAGATTTCGTTTAAAATAGTTACATATAATACAAAAAGTTTTGACATCGTAGTAGCTACTGGGAAGGGGGGATTTTCCAATCATTCATTTCTTCGTTTATAAATGTATTGTTGGAAGCTTCTATAAGGAGGTTGCTAACAGTATTTTTAAAGCTCTAGTTTAGTTATTCATTTTACTTGACCCGCTGTGAAAATCCTTTTTCATTTGTGCAACTAGATTTATGTACAAATTATTAAAACTAATTATTTGCACGTGTCGGATTAAGAGTACTTAGAGTGGATGTGAGAAATTCTTCATTAAATGCTCAAGATTATTACATAGTACCACCCCAAAGATGAAATAAAAGTTCATTAATTAACAGTTTTGCTTAAGTAATATGACCTTTAGCTGCAGCCTGCTCAGCAGTTTCTTTCAGGCATTTCATCGGGGTGCTCTCCCCCCCCCCCCCCCGAGGAAATATAATTTATATCGAAAATATATACTTTTACCAGTGTCCTCCCCCTCCCACAGGAGAAAAAAAATCTGAAAGAAAGATTGCTGCTCAGACCCCTCTTCAATTCGCCAGTGACTGCATCGACTAAGTTCTCAGGCGTTAATGGTTTAGGTGTTTCAATTTCATTGTGAATTCTATACCAGTCAACTACTAGTGCTACTAACTACTGAAGTAGGCTTATGCATACTACACACTTTACAATGTTACTGGAAAGCAAATTGAATACACGCAGTTTAAGGTTTAATACAATTTGAAATATTACAATCTAAATTCGGAACCAGTAACTGGTTAAGATGAGTTAAAGCCATAAGAATAGCGATAGGCGTTCCAGTCAGTACTGACAACAACGGGCTATGCTGTTCAACTGTGGCCTTCGTTAGGCATTACTTACGAGGTTGTTTTTTTTTTAGCAACCAGCATTTGTTGAACGTTCTAATGGGAAGGGAATGTAAGGGAAGTAACCGCGAAAACTAGCTTAATTAACTTTAGATTTTTTTTTAAAAAACCTTTAAACTAAACCCATATATATATACGAAAAATAATGTGTCGTGATCAATAAACGATGTAGCACTAATTTATGTAATTTATTTTTATCATAAAATTATTAATTAACCTTTTTACTTTTTAGTTAGCCACCAAAATATATAGATAAAAAGAAAACCCATTTATTTTTGACACTTTTGCAATGGGCCTAGGCAAGTCACAATAAGGTATGAATAGCAAACTAAATACTAGCACAAAATGTTAAGGTGAATACAATGTAAATACTAGAATCTGAATTTGGTAACAAAATTTAATGAATAAAAAAAAAACAATGTGCACCAAATCAACTACCATATTTTAATAGGTTTATTTTTATAATAGGGTTTATAATTTTAATTTTGATTTTTTTTTAATTGCACACACTTTATCAATATAGAATAATTTTCTGTAACCTTCAAAATGTTAATTTAAAAAAAACAACTAAATTCTAAAACAATCTTTTTAAAAAAATGTTCAAACAAATTTCTTTGGCTGTTTTTTTTTAATTTGCGATGGCACAAAATGGGTTGCATCTGTAGAGTTGATTTACACTAATTTAAAAAAAAAAAAATTACAGATCATGCTTGTGTCATGGAAATCAGAAACTTACCACTAACAGGACAAAACAAAAAAAAACATGGTTTAACTAAAGGGAAAAAAAAAAGATTTTTTTTTCACATGTGCATTGAATACAGCATTTAAAAAAAAAATTAACAAAGCAGGAGATGAACATTTAACACAAGTAAGTCAAAAGGAAAAAAATGAATAACTTACTGAGACACCTAACCAATACATTAATAACAATATATAAAAAAACACCACCTTTTTTTTGGTAGTTTGTAAACACACCTGGCAAAATGCGCAAAATTCACATAAATAGAAAAACTAGGGACTTTTATATTTAAAAAAATAATTTTCAAATTTAAAATGTGTTTAAATGCTGATGAAGATCTTTACTTCCTAATAACAATTGGCAATAAGCATGCCAGATAACATCAACACACAGAGCCTCACAATTAGTTTTTAATAACCATTTAAAAAAAACTCCCCTGCTATATTCGTTTCACTATTCTTACAATGTAAGTAGAGGTAAATTATAAATTAATACAATTACTTAATGTTACAGAATACACCATGTGAACAAAAAAATTGAATGGGAGAATATACTATTTGTTTTATGCAAGTGTAAGTTGATAAATATGGTGTAAGTTTTTCTGGTTATACTTTTAACTTGTAAATACTACATATTTTTTTGTATAAAATAATAACACTTCAGTCACCATAAATCACAAATGCAAAATTATTATTTTAAATTAACTAACTGATAGACATAAACACAATTTTTTTTTGTATTAGTCATGATCATTTAAAATATACTTTGGATAATTTGTTCTAGTTTTTTTAATTTTAATACCAATATAATACAAAGATTGTTTTTTAAAAAAAAAGACAAAGTACATGGTTTGGGAATGATTGGGAAAAAGTAAAATAACAGTTGAAATCTCTAAATCATTTAAAACATTTAGCTTCCTGTAACTTTATCAAACAAGACAGCTTCAGAATCATTCAAAGCAGCATTTTCTACCAGGCTTCTGATTACAACAAATAAGATTTTATGAACTGTAAAAAAATTCAAGGGTGTTTGACAGAACAAACACTAAATGCTAAACATTTACCAAAAAGTTGTTTCTAATTGTAAAATTTAGTTTTAAGATCAATTGAAATTCATGTAAATTCATTAAACATTAGCACCATTTCCCATTTAAAACAGGCAAACTGTAGAAATAATGTGGGTTTTTTCACTAAAATTAACAAATTATCCATTGAAAAATTAAGTACTTAAATTCAATTAAAGTTTATTTAACTTAAGGTGTTAATAAAGAGCTAAGGAAGTGGTTTTTGTGTTTTGGTAATCTTACTTTAATAACCATTATTCATTGACAGTGAAGCAAATTTTTTCTAAAAAACATAATACATAACTAAAATGTAACTTAACCAAAACTGCATTTAAAAGCTCAATGAATATGACTATATTCAAATAAAAGTAACATGAAGTACTTTTTCTATACATAGAGGTCCATAAGACACAAAACAAAATACCTGTACTCCACTGTTAAATTAATTTTAAATTCGACACAAAAAAAGTGCAACTGAAGTTCTTTTATTAACTTAATCATGAAAAAAATGGTATAATTGTTATCTACTGAACTAAATAGGGTTAGAATTTTTTAAAATTATTGTATTTCTACTGAAATTGCAGAATGTGTTAGAAATCAATCAATGTAAGCAACATAAAAGATGTTTTCTACTTTAAAAAGACAAGCACTAATTAAAAAAAAAAACCATAAAGACCCACAGATAAATACAATTAACCAACAACAACAAAAAGGTCACAGAACATTCTTGCCAGCTAATACAGTAGGAAGCAGTTTATCTATCATTTTTGTGGTCGAATTCTACAAAGTTAGACGTTAATAATGAAAGATTAACATCTTGCACCAGTTATTTAAAAGTATTACTAACTAGACAATAGTCTTTGAAGACGTAATAGCATTTTAAGGCACCAAAGGGCCATAACTGACACAAGCACATGCCATAAAATCATGTATTTGCTTGAAAGTGTTTCTCTATGTTGTTACTTTTAGAGCAGAGACAGTAAATAAATTAATCACATAAGAAAGATTGAGCAAAAAACCATAAGGGATATCTCTGAATGGGACTAATATCTAAATGTAAATGTACATTTATAACGAAGGCTTACGATAAGAAGCTGCAAGTAATTTAAGGCAGGCACAAGTATCATTATAAAATTTTAAGTTGCTTTAAATATACCACAAACAATTTCAATTTGAATTGTTAAAAATGTCCCTAGGGGCTGATTTACAAGCTAGACAATTTTCCAAGTTTGGATGCAACAAGTGCATGGTGTTGGCAGATACAATCAACATGTCTGATGCCCTTTCACAAACTTCACTCTTCCACACAACAGAGAAACAAAAATGTTTGAGAAAGTAAAGATCTATACAATGTTACAGATTCAAAATGTGCTGACCAAAGTCACAAGTTAACACATCTGGCACTTGAACCAAACATGTTGTTGTTCCTACTTGCAGCCTTTTGATAGAAGCTCACTGTAGACCAGATCTGAAAGATCATTTGCCTGGATGTCTGTCATTCCTTCCCTAATCTTGTCTGTTAGAGCCTTCTTAGAGGTTGTGTATAAGATGTGAGACTTGGTTGGAGCATTATTAGGGCACCTAGGGAATAAAATATAGTAATATTGTATCAGATTAGTAAGTCTAAGGAAGCTAATAGCAAAGGGAAGGAAGCAGGTAATAGAACTGATGTGCCTCTCATCAACATTTTTTAACAAGAGGCTGTAGAGCATTGGCTTGATATAAAATAGTTGAATGACTAAATATATTTTACTTTTTTGGCATTTGCCTCTTGCTTATTTTATTAATCAAATATTTTGTAAAAACCTACTTTTTTGTTGCCATGGAATTGTTATGTTACTAAAGGGTAAATTGTAATTTATTATTATTTTAAAAGTATCTTTTCACAATAAATCAACCTTTAATATGTATTGATTCATTACAAATAATAAATAAATCTTAAAACAAACAGAGCTTAGAAATAGAAATCAGTTTAACTGTAGCAGTTATTTTTTTTTGCATCCAAAAGCTAATGAAACAAGCTGCAGAATTATTTGTAAATCAAGTATCTGATTTCAGCTTCTAAAATGTGTCATAATTTGGTGTTTCAATAAAGAGTATAGGCCCTACACGATAATGTACATCTATTTTGCAACAGAAAATTCTATTCAAATTTAACGAGACAGTTATAACGCTTATAGAAAAATATATTTCAGATTGATTTCTTGATATAAAAATTGAAAAATAGTAACCTGTCGTTTGACTACAGAGCAGAAAATATTAACATGGCACAAACATGTTTTTATAAATTATGTTACTCGGAAAAAGATTTTTTGGCAGAAGATACAAAACTCAACCGTTCTGCGCATATGCAGTGACCTTACTAGCTGCGCTAGGGTTAGGCTTAGGGTTCTGCCGTTTGTTTGTAGACATACGCATGCGCAGTACCATCAAAAACATTGCCATTAATGTTTCTCTCCATTTTACTGCTAGAATCAGCCATAATCTTACTACCGAGATCTAGGCTCTTGATCTAGAAATCATCTGAAATATGTGTTAATAACACTGCACATGGCTTTAAACGGGCTTTTGGAGAGTCCAGCTGTGGGATGTCATTCAAATGATACTCAATGATATTAAATAAAATATTATGATTGTGTGAACTTGTGAAACAACCTAAACCTAAAATTATTAAATTAGATCTCTCTAACCCAGTCCCACCTACCCAAACTTGTTTTTTTTTTTATTTTAAGTATTATTGAGAGTTAAGAGCCTAGTATGCTAAATTATTTAGGGTGCAATATGTATCTAGATCTAGTGAGTTATTTTTAAATAAGAAGTTTAGACTTACCATGTAATAAGGAACATGATATCTTTCATGGCTCCATTTTTCTGAGGAATGGTTAAGTCAACGATGCAGTAACGACCAATATCGTTAGGTAACCGATCGAGAAACTCTTTAAACTCATCCTCTTGTGAAATACTGTCATCCCGTTCTTTAGTGTATTCAACTTTAATGAGACCGTCGGTTTGGTCTATGTACATGATTAAATATCTGTTGTTTGTCTTTCTAAGCTTCATGGCTTTGTATAATTCTACCGTATCTTCTGATACTTTAACTCCAGACGCCATCTTGATTGATGTGTTACAGTCTGAAAGTACAATGAAACAGGAGGTGATTAATATCTTACCGTTTTGAAAAAAAACTTACTGTACTTATACAAAGAAATGTTATAATTAATATTTACGTAATGAAAATATTGACTTTTATTTAAAACTTAGTGCACTGCTTAAAAATTATTATTAAATATTAGATCTTAGGCGGCTATTATTATCCTTACGATTTCGACACGCCTATTCGCTGACAACTGGAGTGAGCTCCCTTGTGTTCCATAGCCTGGAAAGGAAACCCAAATATGGGCATGGCCGTGTGAGTCATGTACGTCGAACGGCTAAAAACCGTCCTTTGGTGAAGTCCTTTGTCACCACAGAAACAAGAGGTCATCTAATGTGCGTGGTCAGAAGTTCTTGTACAACCGTCTATCTTTATGTTTAAAAAATATTATAAACGCAGGTTACCACCAAACGATTAGGAAAATGTTAATATTACTGCGACGAGAGACACGTTTGATAATAAAATATAGGCTATCTAAATTAATTAATTTTGTATCGTGATTTCCAGAAAAAATGTAAAAAAAAAAGAACAATGGGCACTAGATTCTTGATCAATAAAAAGAGTCAATATTTGTAATTCTTTAAAAATTGAAATATGTCCATCCGCATTTAAAAAAAAATATTTAAGCTAATTAGAACTAGATCTATTGGTAAATGTAATATATTTAAATTACTTATCAGTTTAAATTGTATGTCTTTATTGTACTAGCATCTAAATAAAATACATATTGATCGACTTAGATTTTAAGATCAGGCATATTCCCTATGTAGGCCCATCTATAATACTTATTCATGAGCTTATAATACTTATATAGGAACAGAACACCTTACAAGATTAGCGCAGTGTTTTAGTGGGGAGAGCAAGAAAATTAATTTCTTTTATTGGAGAAAACTGTTCTGTTGAGGTCGTTTAATAACATACATTTTTTATACATGTTTGCACCATCCACTGCAGTGGTGGTTGGGTGTAGGTAGAGTCACAGACTGTGTTCCGTTCAGGTATCTTCTTCTAGTGCCCCCCCCCCCCCCCCATAAAATGAGGATGCAAAGCGACCATTCCACGCCCGGGGCGAATTATCAATATTTCGTCCCCTCTCCTCTCTTATTTATAGTTATTCACTTTGGCTAACAAAATAAAAATACACGCCCCCCCCCCCCTGCCTAATTTGGAAAGGTCGGGGCGCATTTTACTAGTCACCGTCACTTAATAGTTTTTATTGTGGTGTCACACTATCGATGTAGAAAAGTCTTAACTTCGGCGGTGTATAAACTCAGTAACGCAACTCAGAATAAACTTTTCATTTTCTACCCCTTTTGGCGACCCGTCCCCAGCGATCGGCCACCCCACCCGCCCTCCTCTAGCAACGCCTATTTCAAAATATCCTGATCACGGGAAAAAGGTTTCAACTGTCAGCAGCCTAAGTCTTTGTCTCTTTGACATTTCGCGATTCTGCAATTATCTTATAATGTACTGACCAAAGTTTCTGTAGGCCTATATATAGATCTATATCTAAAATATTTATTTATGACGGAAGTACTTTATACTTCCTCCTCGCCCCCCCCCCCTCCCCACCCCCTTTAAAACACAACATTTTTACTGTGCGGCATAAATGATAGCCTCGCATCTTCATTTTTTACATCAGTGTTAATGACCCCCCCCCCCCCACCGAACATACACACACTAGCATACCTCTGACATACAACAATAAATGGAACACTTATCGGCCCGCGTTCCGTCGTGTCTGACACTTCACAAACGTGGCTATGTGACCTCACCGGGTTCTATAACTTGCCTCAAAGCTACAGCATGGGAGACACTAAGGTTTGTTGTGTGTGGTGCTATGACACTGTTGGTTAGCCGTAAGCAGTTAAACCCGCCGGCTATAGCTGGCTATCTACACATTAAAGTAAGATTAGGCTTTTAAGCAGGGTTTTTTATTTTTATCCGAGGGGGGTACTTCCGGGGGGGGGGGGGGGTTAAAAGTAAAATTTTCATTTCGAACATGACAGTCGGTCCCTGTGGTGGATGGAGTAGAGTTTACGTGTTTCTGTGACCTCGGCATTTGAAGGGATAGTGTGGTCCTCATTATGCCAAGCTACTTTTACACTCACTAACGTGAGTTAGGTACCCATTAGAGCTGGGTGAACTCGTGACTTGAACCCGGATTCGAACGCCTGACTTTCTGGTAAGCAGTCGTATGCCCCACCATTTGACCACGCCCATGGAGGGGTGGCGCACTTATTTTCGGTGTGTGTGGGGGGATGAGTTGCAGAAATTAGTTGTAATTAATGTAATAGGCTATATATTTTCTGATGGGACCAAATTGTTCATATTTCGTCGACAGCGGGAAATGGGGGTGGGGGGGGGGGAGAACGACAACAGTACCCTGGGTAGAAAGATGTCTGAAAAAAAAACCTCTGGTCTTAGGTCGGATACAAGGCTAATCGCCCTACATTCAGAGGCGTAGCGAGGGGGGGGGGGGGGGCGGGGGGGGGGGGCATATGTCCCCGGGCGCCGACCTTAGGGGGGGGGGCGCCAAATTGAAATTTTTGGGGGGGGGGTGCAAATGAAAAGTTCGAGGGGGGTGTGTGCAAATCGAAAGTTTGAGGGGGGTGGGGGTGCAAATCGAAAGTTTGTCCCCGGGCGCCGGTAAGTGTCGCTACGCCTCTGCCTACATTCATCATCTGTGAGTTTCTAAATAATTTTTGCAATGTTCAAGTAATTAGAAAAAAAAAACCCTCTTATCACCAGTTTAAAAATAAAATTGGCGGGTTATTATTTTATCTTTATGCTGCTAATACTGTAACTTGTGCTGGGATCTAGATTAATGCTTCGTAAGCCGAAATTAATCAGATCAGCTGATATGAACAATATGGCCGCCGAAGCTAAATCACGTGACTTAATTTTCTGCCCAGTAACCACTTCACACAAATTAATCATACACAGGCTGAGCGTCTGGTCGAGTTTGTGAAAAGATCAAACTCCGTGAAGGATTTCAAAGAACAGGAAGTGAATTAATATCCAGTTGCCAAGGCGTCAGTTTACAGGCCTAGCCTTTAGACCTACTAAATATGTAGTTTAAACTTAGGCATTTAGACTTTGAGCTTTAACATTTGTTGAAACCTAAGAAATAATAAATAGGCCTATTTAAAGTTACTTGTTGTGTTATATTTTTATGCTACAGGTGTTTTTTTTTAAATAGACTAAATTATACACACGTGTTCTAGGCTATTTGGGGGGTCGTCCATAAATGACGTCACACTCGTAGGGGGAGGGGGGTCCGTAACTTTGTGACGGTGTGTGATGAGGGGGGGGGGTTGTTCAGATGGTGCGACGTCACACTTTGCATTATAAAAAAGCAATGTTAGAAAACGGAATTTTTAAGACGTTATTTCGAGTTTTAGAAAATTGTTTTAATAAATTGCAATAGGAATTGATTTAAATACTCTATTTCGACAGAGTTCAGGCACGATTTTGGAAAAATATCGATGTTTTAAGAAATATTCAACTGCAATTTTGAGGGGGGGGGGGGTTGTAGGCTGAAGTGTGACGTTATTTAGGGGGAGGGTCTGGCTTTTTGTGACGATGTGTGACGGAGGGGAGGGGGGAGGTAAAAGTCGTCTAAAAAGCGTGACGTCATTTATGGATGACCCCTTGATAGTCATGGGAGGGGGGTGGAGAGACTTTGAGTGTGGGTGTAAATGGTTGTATAGGCTATTTAGTCCACCCCTTCTAAGACTGTAAAAAAAACAATCTACTGACTGAAGTACTGAGAAGTAGGCTAAAGACAATTGGGGAAGCCAAAATTAAAAGTAGGACTTTGGCGTATGCATAGCCGCAGTGTTGGGGAGCTGGGGGGGGGGGGCGACCGCTTAACAAGAGACCATTTTCAGAGATTTTACATGGATCAATTAAACTCCGAATTAACATGATAAGAATGACATCAAACACGAATGGGTGGTATGTTCGAATGGTATACCAGAGGCGTAGCGGGGGGGGGGGGGGGGGTTACATATGTCACCGGGCGCCGACCCTAGGGGAGCCAAAATAAGCTCATTTTAGCTGCTAATTTGAATTATAAATTTCAAAAAATATATGAAAGTTTGTCCCCGGTAATGGTCGCTACGCCTCTGGGTATAACATACGACTCCTAACCCGAAAGTCTCGAGTTCGTATCTGAACAGGTTTAGGGCGAAATTGAAAACAAAAAGGCATTATACAAAATATGCCCCCCCCCCCCGTGCCCCCTACCAGAAGTTTTAAAAGAAACTGTATCTATTGACGTGAATGATTGCCAGTTCAAACCACGTTCTGCAGTGTTTTGATGTAAATATTTTAAAAAGCAGTTAATTATTTTCAGTATGAGAAGAGCCCTAAGCTCCCGGGTGCCAACAAAGCGATAAGACTGCCCTGCAACCGATATCGGTCAACTGACCAATGGCGTGCATTTAATATGAGAGTGCGGTTAACTGCGGGATTTAGCGATGAAGACTTGGCCTATATATAAAAGGTTAGGCCCTGTCGATATAATTATTGAGTGAGTTGGTGGACTAAGAAATGCAACAAAAAAATTTAATAATTCTAGAAGTTAATCAAATCGTTATTTTGATTCATAACTCAAAATATGTGGTTTTGTTTACATTTTTTACTTTCATTGTCGTGAAAAAAAATTATGTCACAAAAAGTAGGTATAATAATTAATAAATTAGGCCCATCATAGAAGCAGAGGAAGGACACCTGTGATCTGTTTTCTTGAAAATAAATTTTGAAAAATACTTTGTATATATGCAACTAAGGAGTGAAATCGGAACCAAAGTGAAATTGGAAAACATGGCAATGAATATTGTTTCCGAAATATTTGTGTTTCTCTACTGGTTGAAGGCAGTTCAGTGCAGTTTCTTAATATCAAGGATGGCGTCCAGTCAACTCTGTGGTGTGCAAGAAAAAATTAACAACGGCTGCTTAAAGCTAGCCCGGGCAAACAGCAGAAGTATCCTTGCCTGTGCTATGGAGTGTTCGTTGTTGGGAAACTGTGAGGGTTTTGGTGTCGATGACGATATGAACTGTTACACTATGAAGCAATGCAGCGAAGAGTTTTCGACGTGTTTTAGAGAAGAAGCAACGACGCGTTTCAAATTTTTCAAACTTTTGACTAGTCCAGAAAGT